TAACCTGCGTAGACCGTTTCACCTGATGACCAGAAGCAGTACCTATCAAGGGCATTACTGCTGAAACAGTGGCCCGCACCTTCGTCGAACGATGTGTAGCAAACTTCGGTTGCCCTTCAACCATCACTACAGATCGCGGACGTCAGTTTGAATCTGAACTTTTCCGTCGTCTGACCACACTTTTAGGAATCACTCTCTTCCGAACGATCGCCTACAACGCATAATAAGCAAACGGGTTGGTAGAACGCTTTCACCGACAACTAAAAGCTTCACTATCAGCTGCGAACGTTTCACAGTGGACCGACGCTCTCCCACTCGTCTTACTAGGTATTCACAATGCAGTGAAAGCTGACATTGGATACACTGTGGCTAAACTCGTTTATGGAACGACACTTTGACATCCAGGAGAACTCGTGGATCCTTCATCCTCTACAATGAACATGGATCTAACCTCCTACACGAACAGGCTTACAAACGCAATGCGTTCAGTTAAACCTGCTTCCACTCAACCACAATCAACCGATGTTTTCGTTCAACCTGACTCACGATATAATACACACGTCTTCGTTCGTCGAGACTCGCATCGACGACCATCCGAATCAGCATACGAGGGACTTTTCAAAGTTCTTCAACGCGAATCTAAGTACTATATAGTCGATAAGAACGGAACAAACGATAGCATCAGCATCGATTGCTTAAACGCAGCGTATTTAGAAGGAAATCCTATTCACGTCGATTTCCCTTCCGTACAGTCGCACAACACGACTCCTACACTCATAATAATAATAATAATTTCTTCTCAAATAACAGTTTGTTACATGAGGCATGCCAGTTTACAGGCAAGATCAAATTGATACAGATGATACAATATTCACTGCAGTAAATTACATAGCTGGGTTGATAATTTATAAGATATGAATCTAGATGGTTTTAATCAGTACTACAGTTGGCGCGCTTCGTGAAAGTTGCGTTCCAAATGTGCGACTGATGGTCAAGGATAGGTCCATTGAAGGTTGGAGCTTCTAAATGTCGCAACCTCATGTCCCTTTGGAATGTCTAAGGCTTTGAGAATGGTGCAGGATGAAATCTTTCGTTCCATATCACAAGGGGGCTGAAAGAGGGAGCAAGTAAAAGAAAGGACGAGAGGCAGAGTAGCCAATACTCATGAAGGAATGTTTAAGGTATGATTACTCAGTCTAATTTTCTTTTATTAAGGTATTTGTTAAGAAAGAGCATTTTAATAGGTAAAAGAAAATAAGTGTTAACAAGGTGTGAGTGAACATACAACTGACAAATGGAGGCAATTCGGAAAGGAGCTGAGAGTACGGGATTACCGTCTACACCCTGTCTCGCTCATTATGATCACTGTTTCCCATTTTATTTTTACACTTCAGTCTTATCACACTGCCAGGTTTGGTAATGAACTGTAATGGTAACTGCAGGTGAACTTTGAGATATGTACCAGACACGGATGATCCAGGAGAGAGATGATAATCCAGTGTGAGTATATGTTTTTCAAATCTCCTAATGAAGCTAACTACTGAGAGGACTATGGAGAACATTCCAAATGGAGGACGTCTTAATAAGAAAAACGAGAAAGTACCTGGTTTTTCCCTCTTTCATATGCAATCATTCGACGGTTGTCTCGATGAGCGTGGTCATTTTGTTCTGGTAATATGTTCGAGTCACTTAGTGTACTCAATATGATTTGTCTTATTATCAGATCTAACTATCCTGTAACTCAACGAGAAGAATCCCAGGTACTGAGGTCTGTTCTCGTGAGATTTATGTTCCAGACCAATGGTCGACTTGGTTGCTCGTCCCAGTACTTGATCTAAGAGGTGTTAGTCTTTTGAATAGAGGGTTTTGGTCAAATTGTGGAATTTAAGGTGAGCCCCATTTACGTTTAAAACAATCTAAGGAACAACTTTGAAATTATTGAGCCATGATGTATTCGCATAGAATAGAGAGTTACGTTGGCCTTGATTGCATCCCTTATGTAGAGATGATGACTCATCTATCCATGGAAGCACTGAACGGCAGCTTAATCCCAGCATGGAACCACTCAACGTTGTTCATCTACGATCCCGCGCAAAGGACTTGAATCCAGGACCCCCCGATCTCGCGCGCCAACTCTTGACCTACAGACCACTAAACCGGCATCCGACGGTGTTCATGTCTAACTTCAACCAATCCACGTTATTGCACGACCGTACACAATTGTCTGCAGTCAGTAACTGCCTCACAGTGTTGTGCCTCTTCGTCGTGCAGTCTCTCTTATTATAGCCAAAGCTGGCAGTATCGTCGTTTGTGACCGCGTTAAACATGACTGTGAATGGTCTTTACTTCCTATTGATGGATGAACATTCACATCTTCGACCTGAAGCAGCCCATTTGCAAGCAAATAATCTAATTTAGGGTGTTTCATATCCCTGCATCAGCTCATGAGGTTAACTACATATTCACTCCTCCTCGAACAGCTGGTGGCTGAGACAAACAGCTTATGAAACCAGACTACAGGTGCCCTACCCTGCTATCCATTATCACTTATTATCGGAAAAATGTATTTGCTTACAATCATACTTCGTCACCCTGATGTCAAAGGACAGTCATGTTTGGATACGAACTATGATATTCAGGCCTGGATGAAGCACATACTTTTGATCTATCTTAATTGGCCTTTTGATCGCCTTATGTTGCTATAAAGGCACTTTATGGTTTTTCTCATCACCTGCTCCCTCTATACAGAAGCATCTTAGGGTTTTAAACAAATTATTGTTCAAACTATGTCGGGCATTTCTGTGAAAACTGGTTATTTGTGAAATTATACCAGGGCTGAAAGGTCTCAGTTATATCTCTGTTTCTGAAGTTCACAGCGTTCAGACACAGAGACTTACTGGTCACGGGGAGTAACGAACGAAATTGCTTGAACTCGTCATATAAAGTAGTGGTCTGAAGGCTTATGCTACGTGATGGTCAAAGTCATTGTTGCATATCATGTTTGTGCGCTTCATACTGATTACTACCCACCATATCAGACACTCTAAACTACCAGACTGGTTGTTTCTTGAGTGTCAATCGATAATCTCTCGATATCTCATGTGGTCCACAGCTTGTCGTGTCGAACTCGGACTTGAAAGGACTGTTCTGTGAAATATCAGTAAGATTATTGTTTGACTGTTCTGTGTCTATAATAACCCCTTGGATGTTTACGTTTTGATAAATTTGAAGGGGCAGTACTTGAATTCAGTTCTGCACACGATTAGTCTTATGTTTCTTTGTCAAATGTTGCACTACTCTTCCTGGTACGTACTCTCATACAAGGGCACTAAATTAACCAGAGAGTTCTCATTAAAATATCTAGCCCCGATTTTCAGAGATTCGTTATCATGCTTTCTTTTTTAATAAACAAACATTGCCCTCTTACTGTTATGAAAACTTTAAAGAATTTACCAAAGCTGGTAATTTCATTGATGTATGAGCTCGGTTGTGGCTCTGATGACTGTGTAATTTAGTCGTACCTGTGGCAGACGAAGAGTTTTGTGTTGGGAATTTTTTCGGTTGTTTTCAATTAAAGCCTTATGCTTGTTTTGCATTCCTTCAGTCGGAATGCGTTCAGGAATCACGAGGAAGAGTGACTTAACGGGCACTTTAGTACCACCTTGATACAGCAGCACTCAGCGATGATAGTTTTCAGGCACTACAGAGATAATATTCAAATTAGGCCGCTAACCACCATTCTCCATCCCACTCTGTCATGGGTCGTTCTTTCTGTTCTATTCAATTTTTTTCATTCTTCTCATATTTGTCTCCATTTCCCGACGTAATATGTCTTTGATCTTCCTCTTTTCCTTCAGCTTGAGGATTCAAGTGAGGTTTGCCTTGTGATGCGATTGGGGGTTTCCTCAAATGGGTGTCCTATCCACTTCCGCCGATTCTTCATGACTTCTTCCTCCGCTGGGATCTGCTTTGTTTCTCTCACAGTAGGTTGTACTGATCGTCTGGCCACAGATCAAAAGTATTTTGCATAGAAAACTGTTAATAAACACCTGTATCTTCTGGATGATGGTTTTCGTAATTCTCCAAGTTTCGACCCCATGCAGTAGAACTGTCTTGACATTTGTATGAAAATTCTGACCTTGGTGTTGATTAACAGTTATTTTGAGTTCAGATGTTATTCAATTGTGGATTACTGCTCTTGCTTTGCTGATCCGCTCCTTCACATCTGCATCAGATCACCGTGTTCATCAACGATACTGCCCAGATGTGTATTGGATTTAAAATCTCCAAAGCTTCTCCGTCAAGTGGTGATTCGATTGATGCATGTTGTGTTGTATAGGAGAATCTTGCTTTCCCTTTGTGTATGTTGAGACCTCTGCTGCTGGGGCTGCTGCTACACTGGTTGTTGCGTGTGCGATAGAAGAGCCAAGTCATCTGTGAAGTCTAAATCGTCCAGCTGAGTTCTAACTGCCCACTGTATCCCATGCATCCCCACAGATATTGACGTCTTCATGATCCAGTCGATCACCAGGAGCAAGAGAAGGAGTGAGAGTAAGCAATCTTACCTGACACCGGTCTTTACTTCGAACGAGTTTATGAGCTGTCCTCCAAGCATGATTTTGAGTCCATCATAGAAATTCCGTAAAATATAGACTATCTTCTCAGGCACGCCGTAGTGTCGAAGAAACTTACATAGTGTTGTCCACTTTTTAAGTACACGATCTAGTAATTCTACTAAGTTACTACCTTAAACAAAAACAGATCGTTGAGATTACGATATGTAATCTAGTGGCTAAGAGATGAAACCTTTCAACACTATTATAAGCCAGTGTGTTTCATGAAACAACTAATAAATGTTCCTAGTATCTATACAATTATTTACTAATTTAAATTATTTAACAAATTATTCTTTACAGATTTTCTCAAAAGTAAAACGAATGAGTAAATCATAAATCATATAAGATGGTAGATCATTCATTCACAAAAGAAAAAAAACTTACTCGTGTCAGATAAATGGTACGTTTGTTTACACGAATATTCATTAAATAATAGACAATTCGACTGTTGATATTACCTGAGAGATGATAAGAAGACATTTGGAACAATGGAAGTTGAATAAAAAAAAGTCGAAGAGTAATTAATTATTTGTGAACTATTTAGATAGTTTCACTTAATGTACAAAGTATTAATGACATTGCATATGAGTAAGCATAATGATATATATATATATATATATATATATATATATATATATATATATATATATATATATATATATATATATATATTAGCGAGATTCATAGTTGATACATAGATGACTAAACTACATACGTCCTGTTTGGTGAAGACGCTGATAAAATACAGTCTTTTGGTAGCACTAAGCAACAATGCCAGAATGTTTGGAATGCGCTTCTCTCCCTCTAAATCCAAGTTGTTGCTCCCGGATTGGCCTGCGTCAACACCTGAACTAAGGATAGGAAGTGAAGTAGTCGAACGCGTTGACAACTTCACTTATCTTGGAAGTCTGATCAGCCCTAATGGGTTGGCATCGGACGAAATCTCAGCACGGATTCGAAAAGCTCGCTCGACTTTCGCCAACTTACGTCAACTATGGTGAAATCGAGATATCCGTCTATCAATAAGAAGACGAGTATACTGCGCGGCAGTCCGTTCTGTTTTAATTTACGGCAGCGAAACATGGCTATTAAGAGTAGAAGACACCCGTAAGCTACTAGTATTTGACCACAGATGCCTTAGAAATATTGCTGGCGTCTGCTGGGATCACCGGGTAAGTAATAGTGAGGTTAGATGTATGATATTAGGGAATGATGGTAAATCAGTTGATGAGGTTGTGAATCTTCATCGACTGAGATGGTTAGGCCATGTGTTACGTATGCCTGAACACCGATTACCACGACGTACAATGCTAACCGGTGTTCGGGATGGTTGGAAGAAAGTTAGGGGCGGCCAAACAAAAACATGGCATCAGTGCTTGAAAGCACTAACTTCGAGTCTGAGCCATGTTGGTAGATGCAGACTACTTAGTTGGAGTCTGCGTGACTATTACAACCAACGGTTGGAGACTCTATGTGGCATGGCTCTGAATCGATCACAATGGCGTGGCAACTTGGATAGATGCGTATATGTGCCTGGTCCTACGTTATAGGTGATATATATATATATATATATATATATATATATATATATATATATATATATATATATATATATATATATATATATATATATATATATGAAGGCTAATAACACTATTCGGTTGACGAAAATCATTGAAATAGTGTTGAAGTGAACCAGTGACTGAGAGTTCCAGCATTGATTTTTGTAACAATTACAAATAGCTATAAGACAGTTATTGCTTGAAATTAGTGCAAGTAAAAATTCTCTTTAGGCCAATGAAAAATCGAATTCTAAACAAAACAGATTTACGATATTCAGTATATTTATTTAAAGACTTCTCATCTCAGATATTTACTAACCTTTTCGTTGAAATCGTTAAGTGATCAATGTTAGATCACTACTGAAAATCTGGAAGCACTGAACAGCTGTTTTCTCTTAGTATGAGACTACTTAGCAGTGCATATCCACAACCCCAAACACAGGGAGAGAACCCAACACCATTGGTCTTGTGAGCAAACGTTAGACCTATAGACTACTGAGCCGGCATTCAACAATGTTAATGGCTATCTTCAATCAATCCACAATATTGCGTGACCATGCTTCATTATGTTTGGTGGGTAATTGCCTCATACCGAACACGGTTAAATTCCACTGGTGACAGCTTCTCACTAGAACTCCGTGCACAGATAAGGAGTCCCATACTAGAATAAAACGGCCGACCAGTGTTTAAAGAGTTTTAGTAATAGCCTAACACTGATCAGTTCATGATTTAAATGAAACTCAATCAACTCCACAACCCTATACTAACTACTAACTTTTTAATAGAAAAAGCTAATTCGATATTACTGGCTAATATTAATTAAAACTAAGAAGTTTCTTTTGTTTTATGTCATTTAAAGTGAAAGAAAACTGAATGAGTTAATAGATAAGAAAGATGATCAGAAACAAAATGGTTTATTCATTGATTTTATTGATAAAAGAATAAACTTATAAATATCTTATCGAATACTGATAAAATTCATTAATCAAAATATTATGAAACCGTTCATCATACAAATATTGGTCTGTAGTTACCAACCAATGAGCAATGAAGACTGTTCGAGGGATGATAGCTAGAAGTCAACAAATGGTTAGGGTATACAAATTATTCCTACAATTAACTTTTTTATATCATACGTGAAAAACGTTTTTTTTAGCAGTTTTGGAGCGGTGACTAAGTGGTCAAGCCAATCTGATTTCAACTACTAGGTTGTAATTTTGAGTCGAATTCTACCTAGTTGAGTTTAGGGAGCCGGACAGTACTCCTAACGCACACACATAAAGTATAGTGGAAAGCAAAGCATGCGGATCTGTACTTAATAAATGAGTTACATCTATCTATTTCTCAAAAATTCCTATGAAGATCGAAACTATTTAGTTGATTCGTTTTTTCTTGTAAAGACAACTATGAGTGCATTGTCGCATGACTATTGATTGGTTGTTATCACATCCAATTTGTTAATTCTGTCTCAAATCAAGCTGAGATATCATATAAACAAAGGGATATGTTTCAATTTGATTTTGTCGTTCTCATTATTAAATACCATGCTTTTTTCCTGCACTGCTATCTATTTTAGGTTCTATCACTGAGCCCGGAGCCTTCGACCCAAACGTCTGATCCACAAGGCAGTGAAGCAACGTCAAGAGATGCAGTTCCATGGTTGCCAGTGACCAACAATAGGTTCATACACCATTTGTTCCATCAGGATCCTGGAGACGATGTGCACCATTCGTTTGGAATCAGGGTTTTCCAACTCTTCTAAGTAGACCCTTCATATCCACCAACCCGGTTAAAGCGCCGAACATTTGCTTTTCGTCCTCTCAATTTGGTAAACACCCCCGCCGCGAAAAGGCAGTGAGTAGGACTTCCCTATCAGTGGTTGTATACACGTGGCCATGTGAGAGCATTTCGAGAGGAAGGGTTGACTCTTACCACTCTCAGCCGTACCAAGGCATTTGGGGGATACATTAAATAAGGAGCATACAGCTGCAGAAAGTCTAAATGCATGCAGGAAAATCCATTATGAATTCGAAATAAAAATGATTAGTAGTAAAGAAAAAAACTGAAATGATTCACACAAACTGATTGATGTATAAACAACATACTGGAAGTAACAAACAAAAACAATTAGATTTAAACTAATGAATTTCAATTCTACACAATAAAAGTAACATAATCGCCAAAGTTTAATAAGTATTAGAGTTGTGTTTATAGGTACACCATTGAGAAGTCTTGAAATATCACTTAAATTCCAATAGTCAGCTCAATTGATTTTATCCCATGACAACAGTTATCATCAAGATGATGAAGTAATAATAAATTAAGATACACAATCATAGAGAATAGGTTATAATATATTTGTAGATAATTATCATGATTTTGTGATATATATATAACGTCACAATGGTTACTTTATGAAATCAATTCTACCTATGCTTCTTTCAGTCAATACTAGTTTTGGTAAGCAATGTTTAGTATGTGAAATTTTGGAATAATATCAGAAGTGAATTCAGTCAGTCAGTCAGTCAGTAACAACGTAAAACTTCGTACGTACGTACATCAATTCGAGTTGCCATACCATATTAGCACAGAGATGCGGTTGTCGATCCAAATCCCGTAGTGGTAGAGGTAGTAAGAGTATAAGCAGTAATCGGAAAAATTAGGGTTTGGAAATGTCTTTAGAAAGATTGTATTAGTCAGTAAATCAGTTATGACTAGTATAGAAGCTGATACAATTGTAGTTTAGAGTTCAAGCTACCATACTGGACCGAAATAGTAAGATAAGATCAATAAGACGAACAAAAAACAAATGATAATAGTATCAATTATATTAAGGAAAGATAATAATGAGAATATAACTCGAGAAGGAATGGAAAGAAAGAGTGAATCCACCTAAGCTCCTGCTATTCATTCTTAGCCATGTCACCAATACTGATCTCAGTATAAGTGCACACTCCAACAAGATAGTTTAAAATATACCTCAGTTCAACAGTTTTTGATTTAATAGACTAATACAACGTTATGGTTTGGCTACTTCTAGGTATTCATCGAACTAATCTTATTACTAACTACCATTGAATGTTAACTAATCGGTGGTAGGGCATAAGTAGCCGAGTTGCCTCAGTCAATGAAGATTCATACCCCTATAGCTAATTTGCTAAATTTAATTAGTACCCTACGCCTAATCTTAATATTACTCGCTCGATCGATCAACGTCACACAAATATTGTGATTAAATATTAGTAACTTATAAATATACAATACCAAAGATAGACATGAAACAAAGTCACAACAAACCATTAAGATTTAATAGGAATTGAATGGAATAAATTGTGTAAGGAATTTCCAGCGATGAACACGTGGAAATCATTAGTCGTAACTATCCTATACTGAACGTTCTATTGACTGTTTAAAGCAATCACTGGATTATTATTTCCCAGTGTAATATTAATCCAGAGAACATTCAATGCAGGGAAACTACGACTAATACTTCCCACGTGTCCAATGTTGACATAGAGACTAAGAGATAAAAAGATGCAAAGAAAATCACAAATTCATAGATACTATTACTATCATTGTTATTATTATCAAATAAGTATTTCAACCTTATCAGTTTTGCTTTGCTTTAACTAAATGTAACTAAACTAGGTTAGACATAGTTCTAGGAATGACCATAAGTTTACAAGAATAAACATAGACATACTTGCAGACCAACACACATAATCATTAATAAGCTCTTTGAATGGGAGATAATGAAATCTTTTTTTCTGCATGCATATATACAGAACACACAGTGAGTACACTTTTGTAAATTCAACTCTGATATATCCTTTTTCTGACTATATCAACAACATTAATTGCGAAGTACGATGAATTCATTACATTTCATTGGTCGAAAAAATACATGTTAATAAGCCTTAAGAGATAGATGGCTTAAATATAATCTTTGCATTAAAAGAGTCAGTGGTTATTTATTTATTTATTTGAACACAAAAATTAGTACAAAGGGACACCGAATACATATACGCCACACAAGTCACTCGATTTGTTTATGGTCTGTGATACTGCCTGAGTGCTCAAACCGAAGCAGATTTTCTCGGAGGGCCACTCCTCGAGCCATTGGTCTAGAGGTCTAATCCATAACACAGTGGAGCGACTTGAGGAGGTGCAATCGCATGGCAGCCGGTGACCAACGATAGATTCACACGCCATTTGTTTCCTTAGGATCCTTGAGACCATGTGCATCAGTGGTTTGGAATTACGGTTTTCCAACTCCCCTAAGTCAACCCTCCGTGTTCACCAACTTGGTTATTAAACCAGACATTCGCTTTCCATCCTCTCAATTTCATAAACAACACCGCGAGAAGGCAGTGAATATGAATCCCCTGGTAGTAGCTGTATACGCTTGGCCATGCGAGAGCATTTCGAAAGGGAGAGCTAACTCTCCCTACCCTCGGCCGTACCAGGGCATTTGTTAACTCACATCTGCCTTGATAACCGAAGAAATTCGATCTCTCAAATTTGTGATTCACTTAATTATAATGACAATTTGATGAGTTCAGCTTATAAATCTTTTTTTCTAGACTTTTTAGAACTTAATTATGTTACATGGAAAGTTTTTCTGGGTGGCACTTTTCTAGCAAACTTCTTTTCTGAGGGAAAGCAAGGGCAGTATTACAACAATTGAGGAACGTCTGAAAGTCTAAACAACTGTCGGACAACATCATAGTCAAGACAGTTCTATGGTACGGAGCTAAAACGTGGAAAATAAATACATCAAAAATCTACAAGTATTCATAAACAATTGTCTACTTATGAAACTCAATGTCTATTGGTCGGATACCATCAGCAGCAATCCTACTGTGGCAGAAAACAAACCAACTTTCAGATGAATAAGAAGTTAGCAAAAGTCGCTGGAGGCGGCAGTTCAAATATTGCGGAAATCATCACAATGCATCAAAAGGCAAACCCTAAATTGGGATGCTGAAGGCGAAAGGAAAAGAGGAAGACCAAAGAACACATAGCGACGGGACTTGGAGACAAACATCAGAAGAATGAACAGCACTTGGAAACAACTGAAAAGCAGAGCCCAAGACAGAGTTGATTGGAGAACCCTGGTGGACGGCCCATACTCCAAAAGAGATAACAGGAGTAATTAGTTGTAGTAATAGTAGTGGTAGTAGTAACGTGATGAAGATTATATATATATATATATATCAACTAGTCAGTCTGCATTCTTGAGGGAACAAACGCTCCCCCATAATATTCGGGCCAATTTTTTAACTATTAGAAACTGCAATTAGGCTATTTATGCTGTGACCAACCTACTGTACGACAGTTTAAGAAGCAATGTTCACCGACCAACTAGCTAACTAAAGTTTGATAATTTATTCAGCAAAACAAAATAGAAAGAACTTACCTTCAATACGATTGGCTAGATATCGTTTACCCTGATCAAATATTTTAATATACGACCAATCCTTATCCAGATCATCATCAATTGATTCGTAACGTTTTTCATAATGTTCAATACGTTTAAGAAAATCTTTTAACGCTTCTTCTTTATCGATACTTTTGTAATCAGGACTGTTGACTTTTACTTCCTTGAAAACAAATGGAGAAAAGTATAGTGGGAAACCATACAACTGGTATAAACGAAAAAATTGAGAATTTCGATGTGATGGCATTAAGGAAGGAAGTATCCCCTAGCTCAGCTTACGGAGTGCGATTCACCTGACATTATTTTCATTGAGCTGAATAGCTCTAACCATAGTTTTTAATATTCCCCTGAAACATTAACAATATTAGTGCATACTAAAAAATAAATGTCAGTCAGTCAGCTATAAACAACGTAGAACGTGATATATATGTATATCGCTCCAAGTTACCATACCTCATTAGCACAGTGAGATGAAATTGTCACGGTAAATTGCAGACTACTTCAAGTAGCAACAGTATTAGTGGTTATAGAAAAGATTAGAAATCGGTTAAACGACTCGAGAAAATATAAATTAATGAATCTTAAAAAATATTAAGGAATTTAAAAACTTATGATTTAAGGTAAGTGTTATGTCCCGACAAGAATAATGAATGGTAACTTTTGGGATCCACTTACGAACCAACACTAAGGTATATTTCTATTGTATAATTATTAAGTAACTAAACTATGCACATTCATATTCCTCTTATTATAAGCTTTTTTTGACCCATAAACTATTATTATACGTTTTACCATTCTTGAGTTATACCCAGTATATTAATTACTACCTCCCTCATTCACAGCCATATCTGGCTAATTCTTGTACAAATGTTGTTTCATATTTTATTGGTACGTCGTGGTCTGTTTGATTGGTATATAAACTCAGTATGTTTGAAATATAATGATTTATATCGCAGAGACTCGGATTGGTGTTCTGGACTTAACTGGCTGGGCTACGCAGGGAGCAGAATCAATCAGGACTCTAGGCTGCTTGCACGTGTTTTACACGTCCTTGGTCCGATCGATAATTCACTGCTCTCTAATCGGCGGTCACAAGTTATAACAGTAAGACAAAGAGTAAAGGCACCTGCGTCGTTAAGCTGTTATCCAAAGTCCCTAACCATTTGTTACGATAATCACACGGACCTCAAATAGATAGTCTCCTGTTACCTAGATAGCTCAGTCCAACAGTCAGTGACTTCACAGACTGATGCTGTAAATTTGTTCGGCAGCCCCTAGCTTTCTTCCAACTCACTACTACGTTAGTCATCATCGCTCGTTGAGGTAGTCAGTGGATTTATACACGCAATATATTCCTGTAACGCAACTGAAACGTTACACTATGGACTTTTAGTGTTGATTATCAGATTGTCTTAATCTCACGCTTGTTATTTCTAAATGTCAAATTAAATCACAGGAAATCGCACTCCATAACAGTGGCCAAGTGATCTCAGTCGATGAAGATTTGTAACCTCGTCAACCGATCTACTGTTTTACTTAATATTGTATGTCTAACCTCAAAACTGTTAAGACGGCGGTCCCAAAATGCAGTAGTAATGGTTTAAAGACACCTATGATCGAACAACGATAACCCAATAACATGTACTATTTTTGATCGCCACGTTTCACAGTCATAGAGTAGAGTGGAGCGAGCTTGTGGACAGTATACTTGTCCTTTAGAGTTGGTACACGGATATCTTGCCCACGCCACAAGTGACCGAATTGGGGAAAAGTCAATTGAGCTTTCTAAATTCACCCTGACATTTTATCAAACAACAACCAACTGGTGTTGGTGAGAGTCCAAAGGTGAGCAAAGTGTTTCACACACTGAACTGCTACACTCCTTATCATTAGTTCAGGTGCCGAAGCAGACCATCCCAGAAGTAAAATTTTACACTAATAAGATTATGCCAACGTTTTAAAGCGGCTTTAACAGGCTGTTTAATGATTTCAAAAGAATATAAATTTGAATATTGTATCTGGCGACCACTACGGAAGGCAAAAATAAATGATTTCAAACTACAAGTTACAATGAATAATGTGGTTGCGGGTTATCTTTTAAGATATAAATATTCTCTTCGTTTATTCAGTCACGTTTCTTCGCAATAATTATATCCTTTTAGTTTTGTTGATTTTATCCTTTTGTATTAAGTAGAAATGTGCCAACTAGAAATAAACTTTGCATCATGTCTTGGTCTCGAGACTACTTACCGATCTTATTTGTGCCTGTTTGGCTGTATAAATAAGTCGTCATAATGAGTGAGGAAAACACATGCCAACAAAATTCTTTTACACGCAACTAAAATCTATCATTCAATCAATCATACACGAACTTTAATGTAGAACCTTGTACAGAAATGTATTACTTCAAGTTGTCACAGTTTGCATCTGCACAAAAAAGCGATTCGATAAAGACGAACTGATACTTAAACCAATAAAAGCAATTAAAACTTTCAGTCGAATCTCAACTACTATGTAATAGATTTAAATCTCTGTCAACTCATTTCAATTTGGCAAATTAAGAAGTATCGTAAACCTTTGTCATACAAATTTGTGATTTAAGGTCAAGTATATATTTCTTTGTCCATGTATAGATGAGGATTACAAAGCAATCAGAATAAAATCTAGCAATTTAAGTGAAAACAACTAACAACAGAAATAGAATCTTAGTGTTCATAACAGTTGGCTGTCAACCAATAGATTACAGGTTCAAACACCACTCTATATATTTGATTTGGCCATCCCAATGGTGATAAGTGAAGCAGTAATGTTAATAAATTACAATGTCTTGCCTTAGAAATCTGACAAGATAAAAAAACATAATTTTTATTAAAAAAAAACATGATCGTACCAGAACATTCTCCTGAATTAAATTTTTATCTTTACAAATCGACTCGACAAATATAACTTGAAAATTATGCGTTTTACACCGTTCCATTATCCATAACCGACGCTCTCGCGTTGTATTTGTCGCATCAAAGACGGCAATCCTGCCAACATCTGATGTTAACCAGGAGATTAAGTCATCCAATGCTTCCGATGCAATTTTTCTATAAGATTAAGAGAAAAACAACAATAACAGGTTCACTGATGACTAAACTGAGATATTCAAGGATTTCCACTATATACAGTTTTTAAAAATTTCCAACCCTACAGACGTTTGCTTTATTCAACACTATCTGACAACTGACTTAATCCTTGCACCACTCATAGAAAATGAGTGCATATTTACAAATTGCTCATCTTTTAATGTGATATATGTTATAGCGTAAATTAGATATTAAAAACCATTACATTTAATATGGTTTAAACTGAAAATCTTTAACAAAAGGAAGAAGACAAACAATTAAAAGTCAGGCAACTGAAAACTACAAGTTATATGGTGTCAACATAATAAAATTTGTCCATTAAATATGTTTAGACATTATTCAATCAATTGAAGCCTAACGATGCTATACACCAATCTAAATATCAGTTGAGAGTAACTCAGGGTTGTTGACTGAACTGATTATTTAAAAATCGAATGTCAAAGTAGTCATACTCAAAGTTCTGAATCCTAATTCAATTAATCCGGACTTATTAGTCTGGAACTTGACTTTCAAACAGTTATCAGTTCTTGAATAAGAACATGACACTATAGTCGTGAAATAATATACAAGACATATATAAACAGAATCGCACAGAATGGTATTAAAAATACATTCGAAGAATTCTATCACAGTTCGAACGGTTGAAAAGGTAATAATATTGTTTGTTACTAATTTAAGGTGGTTGTTTAACAAATTATACTCTAAAGTTTCCTTACACAAAGTGTTTTATGAATTCCAACAAACGACAGGCCATCAGATAATTAGCAGGAGTAAATTGTTCCTTTTGTAAGAAGTATTATTCAAAAAATGTATTTTAATTTTTACTGCAGTTTTGGGTGTAGTTTGAAACTTCCGAGGTTCTACGACGAGAAACTGAAGGTAAGAGTGAAATGAGACAGCTAAACTTGGCACTGAAGTTAACTCCACCATGTGAAGTTCAATTAGCTATGCATCGTGATGAGCGAAGCACAACAAAACACTTCAAAATGTTTATTGCCAGTTTCCATAAAATTTCACGGGAAAAAACAAATAAGTAAGTTAACTTGGTAAAACGATAAACCAAAAACCCTGTATATTATAGAAGGTTTGGAACAAATATCTGAACTAAACATCCAGGAAATACGTGATATAGCTACCAGCTGGTTTAACAAGGATGGTTTGTCAATCTCAGATTGATTGAGATTAAAACACTCAACAACTTAAGTTATCGACTTCTAGAATCGATTATCAAATCGTCCTTGCTCCATGCCTATGATATTTCTTATTGTTATTGATTGCTTTTATCACTAAATGTATGATTACATGTGCTCAAAGTTGCCGGCTCACTTCTTTAGTTTTTTTTCCTTTTCGATACCCTTTCCTTTTATATACCCTGAAACACTGCTCCTTGAACTCCTCCAGTATACAAATCACCTTTAAGCGAGATGTAAACCTACCAAGGATTAAAGGTTATACGAGAACAGAATATTAAATTTATCGGATCGCGTTTATAAAATGAGAACAAGTAATTATTGGGAGAAATAAGGTTCAAAAAAGATAAATCATACTGTCTGAGTGCTACGCCTTCATTATTTTCGTCGGAAAAGTAACTATGGTCATTGTAATCCTTCATTTGAAGTCGACGATAAGCTCCAACATTGAAAACTAGAAAAAAATACATAACAACAATGACTCAACATACCTCGTGTATTAATTCCAACCCAATTTAGGTACCTTGAAAGCTTGGTAGATATATATGACTTCCCACGAGCAGGAAGACCAACTAACACAACAACCGTCTTCTCATCGTCGGAACAAGAATCTACAAAAATCAATAACATCGAAAATTAGTCTTACCCCAACTAGCAAGCGGTGCTATATCTAAAGATACACGACGATCAGAATACATTTTACTAGGGTGAAAACTAAGAACTGGTAGGATATGACAAAAGACTTGCAACACACTGACTAAATTAGCTGGTTTGACCTAGAAATCAAATTGCCACATACTTTTGAAAAGTGGGTAACTGTAAAATTGGTGTGAAGTAACTTCGTTTTTCTGTTTGTATACCAACAAAGAACCACTTCGGCCAATTACTCCTTGGACTAGTTTTATTAAATTTTATTTTTGCTTCTAACCTGAAGTCATAGGTATTCAACACAACTTAACACGGGAGCTCGCTAAGAAAATCTTATGTTCATCGCACAATTATTTAAACGTCGTAGGTTTTACCTACGCCATTTTGTTGCTTGATAGATAGATTTTTATCAGTAGTTTTATCACAGTCGAAATTTGAAACGATAGTTTGGGGTATCGACTGTGTCATTTCACACAGGTTTGGGTTTTACGGTAAACCATGTTTTTGAGGTACTTTTACTCACTGAAGGTTCCCTTGTATTTGCTTGGCGTATGATTCGAAGTTCAAATGGAATACGTCTAGTGGTAGTCGTCGAGTCCCATCTGCATTGAATTGTTCTATTCTTGGAATCCTTAGTTGACGAACCAGTGATATCTTGTATATGATTGATTCGTACATAACTTATAGTCTCGCCATAACTATAATGTGATCATGAACCAAGTCGACACTGGCGATGCTTGAAATTGATAAAAGTGACTTTGTACAACTAGCAACTGTATATTAACTGGTGCTTATTTTCAATCATAAGAAATACGTACTCCTGATACCCGTTATGTGTTTGAGTAATTATTGTGATTCAGTGGGTTTTTAAGAACGTTTGGTGTAGCTGGACAGTACTCTTACACTCTTATTCTTTACACTTAGCCTGAAAAAAGTTTCTTAATTTTTTAAATAAAAGGGTGATAATCAATGTACAATTATATCACGGTTAATCTCGTGACGAAAACCCTAACGTTAATTGACGAAACAAACACATAATCGTGATTTAACTCCTAATTTCTAGCCCTATTCTTTTTGCATTTTAGATGATATCATTTACTGACCGAAACCCAGTGGGGTTACCACAACAGGAAACGCCTTGGCCCGCCGTCAATCCAACATAGCACATTCTTGCGTCTAACATATTTGCTGGACATTAAAAACGTCCACATAATGCAACTCTGAAGGCCAAATTTTGAACCACATTTGAACGATTTTAATGACTTGTTGGATCACTGAACAGACAAATGAATGTTTGATAACACACTTTGTTTGGATGACAGGTTGTGATATGCTTTGGTATTTGTACTGCCTTATGATTTCCTTGTATTTAATTGCGCGTTTGTTATGAAATGCACATAGAATACGTTCGTTTGCGCTCATCTAGTTCAACTTGACTTAAATTGCACTATTTCGCGAATTATTATTTGACACATGAACCTGTGACTGAGCGGTTGGACTTACACTCCAATTCTGAAGGTTTCGAGGATTACATGGAAAAGTTCGAAATCAAGATCAGGAAAGATATTAAATATGACAAAATTGTGGCTCATTTCCTTACATTCACCACTAGGCGTCACTAGTAATACTAAAGTCTGTAACTCGGATTTTATTAATTTTGGTAATTCTAATAATAATACATCGTTCTTACTTACGAACTCCAGTTTGATGGTGATTTCATGGTTTTGTTGTGGACGCTAGTTGCATAAAATCCATCATTTTAGTTGGAAGGTTGAGGTCATTGAACCCTAATGCCATAATTGAAACTGTCGGGTATTTCCGGTCATTAACTTACGGTTATTAAATATTATAACTTACTGATAAGGGATGATAAACCCTCTATTATAAGTTTTGAGTTCCTCATCACTTACCGTGTACCATCGTCTAGAAAATTTAATAGCACTTCAATAACACATTCAAGCTGGAGAGAGAACAACATATTTAGTCTGAATAAAAGGGATAATTTACACAAAAATGACCACGCTTGCAGGATTGAGTCAGGCCACTCAACTGAATGTTTCCACTATCACCAATGTTGACCTTCTCTTGGCGTTCAATGTTGAGCACGAATCTTTCGAGTAATTAAATGCTCGGTTTCAAAGATTGTGTAGTCAGAAACCAATACCAATACAATTACTTTTTACTGACTGCGCGCTTGTTACGAACTCTGATTATGATACGTCCACTTGTGATCATCCAGTTCCATCCACACTAGGTCACACTATACCGAGAATTCTTAGTTAGCACATCAGTTCGTCTACTCCGAAATATCATACCTTTACGTGTTTATCAGAAAACTTACCTAGTTCAAATTACTTCTAGTTTTGACCCCACATGTCCTAATCACTTAAATGCATTTCTTTCCGCTGTGAATGACTAAATAAACTAATAAATGACGCTATTCAAAGGTTTCAACTAGAAACTATCATCAAAGATAGAAAGTGATAATTCAAAAGGAAAGTGTTGATAAGCTGTCTTCCTCGTCAAAACAACACTGTATGTTCCATGCTTCTTAGAGTCATATAAGACCTTAATGCAAGCTCAGTTGTTGCGACCGCCTTTGTTCTGAATCACAAGTCCTTAAAAGCAGGAAATAATAAAATCCTTATATTTATATAACCTCCTCAATCAGCTTGTCCATCCCACTGTTGCCACCACACCAATGTTTGAACTTTAACGAACTCTAGTCAAATTCTTTCCCGTAACTAAATGAGACGAAATTAAAAACGAAAATGATATAAGAGAAATAACAATGAGTACTTAGGTTTGATAGTAATGAAGTAAATGTTTGGACGTTATCATATAAAACAAATGATATTGGACTGTTAAGCGAATTAGTCCAACGTTACGCCCAACTTCTGTTCTGATCTGTTGGTAAACCCGGTCGACTGATCTATCCTTTCCTTGTGACCCAAGTTTCCGCTCATGTACCAAACGTTCGTAAACTGAAAGTAATCAACTCACATATATTGATCTGATAAATATTATAACAATTGCAAAACAAGCCTCCAGTTTCGGAGAGAAATTTTCACACTACCAAACCAGAACAATGTGAAACCGAAGATATTGAAGGCTAAAATCACCAAGAAAGAGGTTCAAAAATCAAGTAAAATAAGTACACCCAAAAAGAGAAATTGATAATATTCAAGGTGACTATGTAGTGGCATTGGGCCCTAACCACACAGTCCTCAAAGCTGAACATGAGACAACTGGAAAATATATATTCAACATTTAACACGGGGAAAACGCCAGCGATGGGGAAGGCGGGAAGAGTGAATTTAATTGAATCCAATCGGATGGCATGGCCCAAACTCTCAGGCGTCGTTGCTCTGTACAACTTGCTTTTATTGATATTAATTCATACTGATCGGATGGTATGTCTCGGCATTGCAGGCGTAGTCATTATTATGTAAAATAACTGTTATCAACATTAAATATTTCGTTCTATCTCTAGCCTAAATGTGTCCTTCATCATATATTAATGATTGTCAGGGTAGACAATGATGTGACTTCCACGTAAGACCCTATAGATTAGGCGGTTACATTATAATAGATTTACAATCTTAGAATTTTGTCTATTATTAGAACAGTACTACTAACAAAGTAGACCACAATTCTACAGGTGTTTTATCAAAGCCACATAATAAAAGCTCAAACTAGGAAGAGTGTAGAGCATTAAGTGCGGTTAAGAGAGAACCAAATGAAGAATAATGTATAAGATTGGGAAAAGGAACAAATAAATGACAGTACTGTTCAATGGAACACTCTGGAAGGATTTTCAGCGTGTTCTTTCCGTTACAAGAATAAACCATTGACAAACAGGCCTTAGTACTTACAACAGTATATTTAAAACCATACTTGACTGCGTGATCACTAGGGCTTATACCAGTACGACTGGAGATCCGACTAACGGCCTACTGTCTAATACTCCACGAACACATGGTATTTAAATGTCTTTAACTAAGATTCCTTTTCTTGTCCTCAACCTGACTTTCGTTACTGGTCTACCCAAACTAGGTAGTACTCTCTACATGAGATGGAAAACTTACATATTGCTCTCAGAAACGTTGGAGCATATCACCATCGAGCCACCTCTTTTATTGTTCTCTACTTGAAACCATTTTCGACTGCATTGTAAAATACGATTACCCTTTGGATCACCGCTCCCAAAGAAATAGAACCAGATCATTCACATACTTCCTTACACATAGTAATATTCCTCTGAACTAGGTATTCTTTAGTTAATATTGATGTCTAAGTCACTTATATGAAAAAGTGTAATATCAACCATTTTACGAAATATTCGATTATCTATTGAGGACTATACAAGTTGACCTAAACATGGACATGTAGCTTCGAATAAAATATAAAGCTATCAATGCCTTTATTTAATGTAAACTCCTCAATTTCACCATTACATTCTCAAGCCATCCTCAAGAAGACGTTATATCCTCTCTATCTTCAGTTTTGAGATCACTTATGATATGAGTAGGATCATCAAACATTTTATAAAATAGCTTATTGCATACAGCCACTCACATAAATCACAACGATAACCAAGGAAAATTCGAATTCTACATCCCATAAAATACGCGGTTATTAAATACATATCAACTAAAGACTCACTACATTCTACATATGTAGCTGAAAGATCGCCGTACGTAGACTGCTGATACGCGAAGCTCTGTAATCACTTACTTACGTCTGTTACTCCTCATGAAGGAGCATAGGCCGCTCACCAGCATTCGCCATCCAACACTGTCCTGGGCAATCCTTTCCAGCTCCTTCCAGTTCTTATTCATCCTTTCTATATCTGCTTTTATTTCCCGACGTAATGTGTTCTTTGGCCTTCCGCTTTTCCGCTTACCTTCAGAAGTCCAAGTTAGGGCTTGCCTCGTGATGCAGTTTGACGATTTGCGTAATGTGTATCCTATCCATTTCCATTGTCCCTTCCTAATTTCCTCTTCAGCTGGAAGCTTGTTTGTTCTCTCCCACAAAAGACTGTTGCTGA